CCATTTGACCTTTAATAATACGAGTATGTGGATGCACCCTGATGTGCTACGCATTCTCCAACGCGCCTAGGCATGCTTCTGATCAGGTGGCCAATGTCCTCCTGTGGTATCTCATTCCAGGCAAACACCAACTCCTCTCGAAGTGCTTCTAGAGTCTGAGGAGGACGTTGCAAATTGAGCAATCTCCTACCCATCATATCCCACACGTGCTCAATTGGGGATAAGTCGGGAGATCTTGGTGGCCATGGTAACAATGTGACATCATTATGTTGAAAGAAGTCTATTGTGACTCTTGCAACATGTGGTCGGGCATTATCTTGTTGGAAAGTTGGATCTGCCAGGGTGTCAAGATAGGGTAAAAGTCTAGAACTTCGTGGATATAACGCTGCGCGTTCATGTTACCTCTGATGAAAATTAAAGGTGACCTGGAACCATAAGCTATAGCACCCCAAACCATAACTCCAACAGTGTGATGAACATGTCTTTCAACAAAAAACTGTGGATTCGTCCTTTCACCACGTCGCCTTCTAACCCTGGCACGACCATCGTGCATGCCTAAACAAAATCGAGACTCGTCACTAAAGACAATACTGTTCCATTCCTGATCCCAGAGTGACCGTTGTCTGCACCACTCAAGGCGATTACGTCGGTGTTCTCGAGTTAAAGGGAGGCCCGGTGTGGCCGGTATGAAAACAAGCCAAAACTTCTCATTCGTCGGTAAACACTTCGCATGCCAATAGGTCTTCCGTGTTCTGCAAACCATTCATTTGCAATGGACCTGGTAGTGGAGAAACGGTCCCTTAAGGCCAATAATCTTAGGCGGCGATCTTCACGGTCTGTTGTTCTACGGCGGCGTCCAGTGCCCCTTGCTCTTTGCGTACGGCCTTCTCGAAGCCATGCCTGACAACACCTAACCACAGTGTCTACACTTCTTTGCACTCTAACTGCAATTGCCCGAAAAGAAAGTCCAGCTTCCCGAAGCCCCTATCAAACTCACTAAGTTGACGAAATCGTACAGGTCTCCGTACTCTAGGCATCGTAACCGATCGTAAAGGATGTCAAGAACCAAAATCCGCCAACGTTGATTCTTTACTGCGGCTGAAATATTCATTTTTAGAGCGTTAGTGAATTAAAAAAAAGCAGTATAAAAACCGGAATGTCCAACTGATAAGGGTGAAAATTTTTTCACTTGTTATGTACAGTAAGATAAATACATTCACCAACTTTTATTAAAATAAAACCATTTAAACTGGGTGTTCGGATTTATATGTCACTTAGTATATGTGTACATTTTAGAACTGAAGTTAAATATTTTTTCAGTAATTTCATTGGAAACAAGGACAATTTCATTTTCCAATGTTAGTATTGAATTTTTTAGTAATAAGTAGTACAGTCAAAATTCAGCATGTCTTCGAATTCCATTAGCACTATGTTCTGATATTAATAACATAAATCAGACATATTAGACTGACTGGATCGAAAATTGCATTACACTTCCTGGATACCGATTCTCACTGAAATTGTTTCTGTTATTTAATAGGAATAAAATGCAGCAAAATAATAACTGCGCCATTTGCAGTTATCCGTTGGCGCTCGACAATTGTAGGATCGTGGGGAAGAAGGGAATTAGTACACTGATCACACAGAGCAAACGCGTGGAAGACAAAAAATGGTTGGATTGGGAAAAAGAAAAACTAGACTGCCATGAGAAGTGTAGACTTTAGAATTAGCGTTGTTGAAAGATTAGAGAACATTTCTTGCTTAATTCGCGTACAAGGCAGATTTCACCGGTCATGCATGTCTCATTTCAATGTTTATGGTTTAAAAAAAATATCGAAGGTCTAAACTGGTCTAGAATCGATTCATTGTTAGAACCTGTGTGGCAAGTTCTTGAAGAGGACAAAAATGTTATTCATTATTTGTCGGAATTAGTACAACTTGTGAATGATGAGTCTATATATAGAAGGACTGTAGCAGATCTCATTAAAAAACGTTACGGTGAGGAAGTTGAGTGCAGTATAATGGGGGGAAAAGATATACGTGTATGCTTCAAAAGTCATCATGTTTTTAATGTGTCAGCAGACCCATCAACTTTCACAGAAGGGCAGATACAAGTTATTTTGCTTCAGGGCTCAAATATAATGCACAGAGAGATTCGTAGCAAGCAATTTGTAAGCGATAAGTACCCACCGTCCTATGAATTTGTGAGAGATCTTTCCTCCGATTATCCACCCCACTTTTCTTTCTTTATTGAGCACCTTCTCCTTATCGCTAACGAAGAAGAAGATAAAAAAGCAAAGTCTGTGAAGCGAGACATGGTATATCAATGCATACTTTCATTCATTCAGCCACGTACGGTTTTATCCACTCTCCACTTGTTGATTGGGACATTGATTCTGAGAAAAACAGGTTCCAAGTACATCATAAATCTTCTGCATGAATTAGGCGTTTGCACTTCTTACTACAATATTGAACTGTATGAGGCTTCAACAATAGTGAATTCACCCAGATTGATCATCGAAAAACCTTTCGTACAATTTGTATTTGATAATACTGACCACAACGTCAGGACCCTGGACGGACGGGAGATTTTCCATTGTTTAGGCGGAATACAGGTTTACACTCCGGAGCACGAAGTCACACAATGCGGAAGTGTGGAAAAACTTACTGAGATGCCCTCCGCAAATATCCTTGCAAAGCAAGAACAACTTCAATATTTCCTTACGTCGAGCCGCCAAAAGAGGGCTTGAAACTTATAGAATTCATCGATACAAATTTACTGACCATGGTCGACATGCCTCTATTCCCCCTACTTACTCAACTTATTTGTGGGCTAAATACGTTGATCCTGAGAATGTACCAGCATGGCGAGGTTTCATGGAGATATGTTCGGAAAATGAAAGTTTCCAAAGGTCGGGGTTGCAATGCAACAATTCATTAACGAAGTTCCATCTAGTCTAACAACCATTTATACATCAATTATGCATGCAAAGAGCGAAACCCGTAAATGTGGTCAAAAACCCACTATCTTAACTTACGACTTGCCGTTGTACATGAAATGTCGCGATATTATAGCGAAGTTAATGTTGCCCGACGTTTTTGTTCGCTTAGGCGGATTCCACATGTTAATGTCTTTTTTGGGAGCAATAGGTATTATCATGGGAGGAAGCGGACTTGAATCTATGTGGGAGCTTGCTTACGCTAGTGAATCCATAAAGAAAATGATGGACGGGCACAATAATTATTATTCAAGAGCAGTCCGAGCACACATTTTGACGTTTACAGCTTTAGGCATCGTAATTTGTGATTCAATCGAAGAAAAAGGCTAGATAAAAGGGGCTATCGCATCATCGATGCGTGTCTGGCAGAAAAACCCTCTTCAACTAAGGGACAGTGACTCTGATAAGGACCTGAAGAAAATATCTGATTTGTTTTATACAAAGTTGAAGCAATTGAAAAATGACGGCCCAACAGCCAAGTTGTGGGTGCAGTACATTGAAGCCGTGCTTATTGTCTTTCGTTTTATTGAAGCAGAGCGTCTTGGAAACTGGGAGCTTCATCTTGATTGCGTTCGAAGAATGTTGCCATTGTTTCATGCCACGGGACATTTTCAATACGCAAAAGCACCTCAGATCTATTTGCAGGATATGGTACTTCTACAGGACACTCAAGAGTTTCACCAGTTTGCCACGCAGGGTTATTTCACTATCCACAGGTCAGATAAAGCTTGGTCCGGAATCTGCAGTTACATGACAATCGAGCAGACATTGAATAGGTTTTTTGGGACTGACTTGAAACACGGAAGAGGTGTTACGCGGAGTGTCGTGTCTCGATATTTGCTGGTGATGCCTTGCGCCGTGCATGTGATGCAAGCATTGGAAGAGTACTGTAACCTGGAGACGAGAAACAGTGAGCAGCATGTTGATTTGGGTAAAGGACGAAAGGCATGGGACGCAAAGGACATTGCCTCATTCGTTACTTGGTTAAAGGGGCATGAATCATTCAAAGTCCGCGAGGAATTAATTTTGCTGTCAACTGGAGCTGTTGGTGGTGCGGAAATAAATTGTCATATGGCTTTCGAGCGTAGCACACAACCAATGGGTCATATAGTTGGATGCGCTTATGAACAGGTGTCGCAGTCAAAATTGTACACGATCAAGAATTTGGACTTTGCACGGACACAATCTCAAAAAGCTATGTCTTCCACTGTCACTGTTGATACCTCTCTATTATTTCAACGTCTGTCTCTTGCTATGCGTGGAAGGAAAAAGTTGAGTAAATGTTGCTTCGACTACGAAATGTCTCCTGCTCCACTTAGTTTGTTCGACTAGAAAGGATCAATGCGTAAGACCGACAAGTCACAGTTATATAAAATGTTCACTACAACCCAGCCTCGCGAACATTTTTTGAAGATTCTCAGACATACCGTGCAATCTTTGATATGTACAAGACCTTTCTTGTTAAGCGGTTTGGTCGGAGCGTCATTATTGTTTTCGACGAATATGAAGATGAACATATAGGTGTCAAATCATACGAGCGAGACTGTAGACAAGAAAGACATTGTAGCGTGGACGTTGAAATTGAACCAGACAATCTCCTCCCATTGAACCAAAAGAAATTTTTGTCCAACGTGAAAAACAAGGCTCAATTTGTTTATCATTTCGGCCAAACTCTTGCAATCTATGAGGGATTCAGTTTTACCGTGATCCATGCGAAAGAGGATGCGGATGTTGAGATTGTGAGAAGAGCTCTGGAGATTCATAACGAATTGTTTCGTCACGGGAAATCACGAGTTATAGTCGTCGGCTCGGATGTTGATCTCTTAATATTACTTATTGGACTCACTCCAACCTCAGAGAGCATGCACTATTACAAGATGGGCCAGGGGGGTGAGGCGAACAAATTATACGATACATGGGATCACAAACATTTGCAACCATTTCTACTTTTCGCTCATGCGTTTGCGGGTTGCGACACTACTAGCTGCTTTTTGTGGAAATGGAAGATGAAGCTGGTGAAGTTGCTGCTACAGAACGACCGCATTAGAGCGCTGGCGCTGAAGTTTTACGAGCCGGACTGCTTGGAAGACGAATTGCTGCAATGTGCAGAAACGATTACTCTCGCACTATACAAAGACAAAGAACAGTCTTCTTCTCTCAGGAATTTCAGATAAAATTTGTTTTCTACAAACTTAACAAAGGCAAAAAAGGAAACGTCCCTAGAATGTCTCCCACCAACATCTCCTGCCTTGCTTCAGCACTGCAAACGAGTGTACTATCAAATCCAGGTGTGGCTTCAGCATAGATTGGATCCCTGCTTGTGGGGATGGACAAGACAGGGTAATATTCTCATTCCGAACATGTCTGAAGCAGATCCCGCACCAAAAGAAGTGTTACAAGAGGTATGTGTGAAATGTATTCAAGTTGAAGCAATAAATACAACTTGCTACAACTAATTTTTACTACACTTTTGATCTCATGTACTGTCTGACCGGAATTAAATTAATTTTTGAACAATGTGAGATCCAGTTTCAAGCCAAAATAACAAATTTTTAGACTGATCTATGGAGTACTATAAAAGGCCTGCCATTGATTTCCCTTACAAGACAACTGATATTTAGATTATAATAATTCTTATAATAACATTTTTTCAGGTTTCCTGTGGATGCCAAGGGCCCTGCAAATCGAAGCGATGTAACTGTCGTAAAGCCGGACTAAAGAAGAAGAAAGAGATGGACTGGCTACAGAACACCATGACAGCGAAACTCCGACGACTACTAATGCATGTGAGGAGGAAAGTGGACAAACTACCGTAGAACCCGATAATGATGACTAAACAGAAGATGATGAGACCTCATCAAGCGGCCAAGATGCAATGACCGATGAAGAGGAAATTAACGAAGGTGACGTCGGCTACAACTTTAATGACTTTGACCTTCAATGATTTATCCTACTTGTAATGGATTGGGATGGATATAACATTGAACTGTATATACTTTCAAGAACTGCTAAATCTCTTATCATGATCGTAGATCAACAACTACTCGTGATCAAACTGATTTGCGAGGATAATTATGAAAATAACGTGGAACCTCGAAAACGAGTCTTTTGATGACTCATTGGGCTTCTACATCCTGTAATGTATTCTTATCATTGCCACTCATTTATATACACGTTCACACATTTTTTGCAGCTGTAGGTTTCTTATCGTTGTTCCAATTCTAAATGAAAATATTATACCTCACTTATCCAGTCAATCGGTAAGCGGCTGAAGAGAAATTACTGCATCTTGTACTCTAAACGCATAAATTTCAAAAATAAGTCGGTGAACGCCACAACTACAAACGAGCTTATTATTCGAAATCGACTGGCCTATCACTGAGAGTGAGACACTGAGGACGTCGAAATAAAAGAGGATCGTCCCGCTTCAACGGTGCGGCGGCTGGTGATATGTGTACGCGCGTCCCTGTCCACGCAAACCCCTCACCCACAAGCCATCAGCAAGCTGTAGCGCGAAAACTAAGCAATTTAGCAAAAAATTTGCAGAGACCTTTTTTGATGGCCCAAAAATTAAAAAAAAAATTCGTGTAAAAACATCCCAGATATCCACAGCCGTTTCAGCGAAAAAGAGGTTGTTTGGGTTTTTCGCAGTTTTACAAAAAACGGCTGGTTTCCGGAAAACCAAATTCATACAACAATATTCGCAATCCTTTATTACACCATTCCGCCAGCGGAAATAACTTTGTGGCTATGTTATCACTTTTGTCTCAGTTTCGGCTATTTAACTGGGCTATAATTTCAAAAAGAATCTGCTTGTTCTAATACTATGTAGTCTGATACATTATAAAAAACATCATAAGTAAAGGAAGTATTTTTAATGATTTCAAATCGCATTTTGTCCAAATGTATTCAAACTCTTACAAAAAGCACCGCAAAATCGAAACATTCAGCAAACCAATTTTATTTTTTATAAAGTGTACGCGATCTTTCGATAACGAGGAAACTGATTTTATAGGGATATCGTATGTTAAGATAAATAGGAAAACAACAAATGAGTGGCACTTCATTATTGAACAACCGATAGTCCATTATATTGGCTTTTTACTACGATTTTACAAAATTGCGCGTAACTCAAAAACAATTTGACTTTGTTCTGAAGTACACGTGTTTCAAACGGGGTTTACTATCATACCTTATAATGTATCGACCTTCCCTATAATATATAATTTTACAGTGGCATCACTACGCGCGAAGGCAAATGTACTGACACTCTCAAGAGAAGAATAACTAAAAAATAATATTATAACTTCCTTTTGAGATGATCGAACTGATAGACCAGGGTCGTATAACACAAACGCTACAAGTTGTACAACTGTAAAAACTCGGTGTAGACTTGAAATTATTTCGTATTACAACACAACTTGTGGCTACATATGCGGCACCAGTAATTACCGGATAAAACTTACAATTTAGGCGCATTCTGTAACAAAACGTCCACACTTGTAGGATTCCGTTTCAGAATTTCCTACATTTGTAGTTAGTATTTTACTTATTTTTATCTCTGGGTAGGAATTGGTCATGCCAGTATACAGGGTGTTCCATAATTATTGCAACAAAATGATAGGGGTTGTAGAGGGCATAAAAATATGCAATTTTGCCTTATAAACCCCTGTTCGTAAAGATGCCGTTTGAGCACTACCGCTAATTTTACCTTAAGAGCTCATAGGAGAAACAAAAAATTCACCAGCTGCAAAATGTTCGTCTAGGACATTTCATGGTCTCGCCGGTTTGTAAAAAAGCCTGCTGTGTTTACATTTTTGTTATCGTAAATTCTCCACACCGATTTATTTAATTTGTCTGAGTGGTGCGTCAAACTAGATAGTAAATAACAGTACCTTAGTGTTAAAATGCAGCGTTATTCGTATGCGAAACTTGCGGATATGCATTTAATTTACGGAAAAGCTGGTGGTAACGGAAGACGAGCCTCGCGAATCTACGCCTAACGGTTTCCAGAACGTCCTCATCTGCATCACGCCATTTTTGCAAGGATTCATGGACGTCTTCGTGTCAGTGGCAGCATCAGATACCTCGCGGGAGCAGGGCGGCCCTTCACAAGGCGCACAGTAGAATTTGAGGAAGCGATTCTGCACCATGTAGAGGCCAATCCGCGTACAAGCGTGCGTGCTATTGCACATGATATGGGAGCGTCTCAAACTACTGTTTGGCGGGTTCTCCATGACACCAGCAACTACACCCATACCACCTTTTAAAAGTCCAAGCCATGGGTCCAGAAGACTATCTGCCGCGTCGACGTTTTTGTCGTTGGTGGCTGCAGCAGGAGTTGAGGCAACCAAACTTTGGTCGCTACGTTTTGTTCACTGACGAGTCCTGTTTTACAAAGGACGGTTATTTTAATAGCCGTAACAGTCACATTTGGGATGATGAAAACCCTCATGCCATAGCCATCCATAGAGACCAACATCAGTTTTCAATTAACATCTGGTGCGGCATTGTGGACGAGCATATCATCGGGCCATATTTGCTTCCACCACGTTTGGATGGGCATGCTTATGGTCGATTCTTACAGCATGTGCTACCGAAAAATGTGCCACTGAACATAACAGCCAACATGTGGGTTCAACACGATGGCGCTCCAGCCCACTTTTCTTTACAAGTGCGGCAGTATTTGGACGACAAATTTCCAAATAGGTGGATAGGCCGAGGTGGCCCTGTGCCTTGGCCTGCGCGGTTACCCGACCTGACCCCACTGGATTATTTTCTCTGGGGCCATCTGAAAGCTTTAGTGTACGAAACTACTGTACCCAACCAATAAGAGCTACTGGGAAGAGTGATGGCCGCGTCCGCACATGTTCAGGACATACCGGGGTAATGCCGCCGATCATTGAACAATCGTGCACAGCTGTGTATTGAGCAAGGTGGAGGACACTTCGAGCAATTATTGTAGGTAAGCTGTTTCAAGAAACTGATCTTTTTTTTTGCTGCAGCCCAAACGGCATATTTCCGAACAGGGGTTTATAAGGCAAAATTGTTCATTTTGATGCCCTCTACAACCCCTATCATTTTGTCGCAATAATTATGGAACACCCTGTATATACCTATGATGTCGTCAACACAATACGGTCCTCAATCACAAAATATATTCAAAATATGCTAAGACAATCTTTTATCAGAACTGTCTTATATGTACGTACAACTGTAATAGATTACTCATTTCTTTCACTTGTACTTAAATATAATTACTTGTAACCTGTAGACTAGTAATAGTAGCGCTGTAACATCAACACTACAAGTAGTGTTGATGTTACAGCGCTCAGGTATCTGCATGTTGCCATGCTCAAATTTGTGTAACATTAAGCGTTTTTTAAATCAAATTCTAAATATTTGTTTTTTTCGCACCGGTCAAAGTTGCAAAATAGGTCATTTTCGACCCCGAATAAGAATTTGAAGTAACGAAAATTGTAATATTGTCTGTGTCACTAAATATTCTTAAAACATACTTTAACAAAATCCCAAAGAATTTTGGCGGGCATTGTTATTTTAAACCTTTGTTTTTTAATTGTTAACCAAGCGCGTGCGCTCAGTATATACTCTGCGGCCCTTGTATATTAATACTAATTCAACAAAGATATTACATGGTTGCAATGTTCTTAAAAATACAAGTGTTTGTCTGAATTTAGTTATCAAAGCTTTAGTGGTTTATCATTTGATTTTAGATTTAGATCGGTTAACTTCTCCTGTACATTATGGAACCATACCAATGCAGCTTTTTTTTTAATTTACAAAAATAACCATTCATTTAGTTGTTTTAAAAAGTCAATGAGTTTTATTACCAATAATCCATCATTATATGTTGTGACATCATCCGCATATAGTGAACAAATTGTCTAGATAAATGATATAGATATAAACATGATAGTCCCTAAAAGAGATCAATATCGATAGATGAAGTCTGCACGTGTTAAATATCTGTTTTGTAAAAACAATTTGATCCTTTTGAGAGAGTGATTCCATACATGCGCAGTTTAAGGTTGATTCTCACTATACATTCCGTTTCCATTCCATATCAGTTTCGTAAACGTTCAGTACAATTTGATGGTATACACAGTATACCTTACGGATAATGTGCATACACACGCAATAGCCCGCTTTAAGTGAAGGCGAATATTTCATTTCAATAATTTACGGAACGGTTACGGAATGGAAAAGGAATGTATAGTGAGAATCAACCTTTACTTTGCATTTCCATATTCAACATTTTCGTAAATGCATCTTAAATGTAGTTCAAAACGTTGTGAAATATGTGGTCTGAAGAAAATTTAATTATTGCCGCTGTTATTTTGGACGAGGAAGAACGTTTGAAAAGAAAACGAAAAAGGCGTTTCGGGATTCACAATATGTTAAAGCAACGCGAGGTTGATGTAGAGTATGTTACATTATTTCCGAAGTTAATGGACGATGACACATATTAACAATTAAAAAAAATAATTTAGAGAATGCATTTATGGAACGTCTCTTCAATTCACACTTGCCATATCATTTCCGACACGTTTCCGCCTGTCCGCCAACAATACGTTACGAAGGAATGGGTATGGAAGGGACGCAGGCCGGTATTGAACGGAACGGATAATGTGCATACACACGCAATAGCCTGCTTTAAGCGAAGGCGAATATTTAATTTCAATAATTTACGGAACGGTTACGGAATGGAAACGGAATGTATAGTGAGAATCAACCTTGAAGGTTTCCATTCCGTAACCGTTCCGTAAATTATTGAAATTGAATATTCGCCTTCGCGTAAGGCAGGCTATTGCGTGTGTATGCACATTATCCGTTCCGTTCACATACCGGCCTGCGTCCCTTCCATACCCATTCCTTCGAAACGCATTTT